CGATGACTGAATGAACGAACCTTGGCTGGCGAAGATGTATCTGGAAGTGTACACATTTGTTGGAAGTGAAAAAATATTCAATTTTGTAATGACAAAAATTGTAAAATGCTGTGGAATTTCTTTTGCAAATAAAAATATACTAGCAATTTTCTATTAATGGTTTATTCAAGTGGGAAAAATATAATGTACAGAGAGATTGCCCATATACACTGAAAAGTAAGCAACCGACAGCCTGTATAAAAGGGGGGCTGTGATTGGCTGTTACTTGCGCAAGATTTGAACGGGACTTACATAGGCGTCGGATCAGATGTAGGTAGGGCGGAATTAAAAAAAAAAATCTCAAAATCAAAGTAAAATAATGAGATAAAAGGGCATCAATAACAAATATAATAAAAAATAAAATTAAAATAAGTTTATAGCCAAAATAATTAAAGCCCGTACACTACATCAGATTTTAATCAGATTGAGATTGATTGTGTCATTTCAAAGTGGATGTACATGACTGAATATCACAGCTGTAATCATAGGTTGTATCTATGACAATAAATAGTGTATGAATTAAGAATAAAAGTCAAAAACATGAAGAGATTAAAAGGCGCATTGCTAAGCTGAATAATTAACTGCTGCTTAATGGAGGAAACATCAACAATTTTGCCCACATATATCTTCCCTTAAATAAGTAAGTTGCCATCTAATTGTAATCAAGTAGTTGATGTCTGTATTGTTTTGCTTTTAACAACCAGTGAAGATGGGTGTGCAGATTTTTTTAAAAATGGTTACCATGGAAACAGGCAATGATAACACTTATCTTGTGTAATCTGTCATTCTGTTTTATGTAATTCAATACTAATATTTTAGTTTCGTTTTATACTTGAGTTTAGAAAACAAAGTTTACATAATGCTATGTAGGAGAATAAATTTATTGACTGTTGATGTGTTTGATGTAAAATATAGGAAAAAGGGTATTTTCACCAACTCTTTTCATTATGCTCATATACGTAGAAAACAGTATTGGTTGTGATCGGTTCATATCAGTTGGTCTTTAATGAGCTATACCGTACATTTCAAACATTTCATTGCTTTTTAGCCCAGGGTGATCTTTTTCTACTAAGGCGGAGTTGACTGACTAAATCAGATAGTTCATGTGGAGGTAAAGGAAATTGTTTGTAGGGAAAATATGAAATCATGTTCTGCTAACAAAATAAAGCTCTTGTATGCTGAAGGTATTGAAGGTACGAAATATATATATGACCAGTGTAGGAAATTAACACTGATCAGTGATTTCATGTGGGATTGGTACTTATGAAACTAGTTCTTCTAATATAGGAAGACAAATTATGAAAAAGAATTCTAAATGGTAAATACGATAAAATTCAAACTATGCCCTGTATAATTGCAGTTACAATATGCATAATTTTTTCTGCCAATCGGAATGGACTGTGACGCTATTCACTGCCTAAATTTTCCCTGGTATGAGGGGCAGAATATCCATCATTGATGAATGTGAACCATGCCCTTGATTTGAGTTATGGCATAAATAGTTTTATCAAAGCTATTCATAGATGCACCAGTTATGAAGACTGAAATGTATGGAGTGGCCTTTAAAAATGATATATACAAATATATTTTATTCAATAAGATTTGGACTATGCGACTTATACTTGCAGTTAATTCTAGGCAGCTCTTTCCAGTTCTACTCTCACACTTGATCTGTGTCTGTCAAGGTGTAGAAAGCCTTCATTAAACTTGTGGATTCACCAGTCAAGAAGACTCCTCTTCTTCTAGTTTGTTATATTAGGTGCCAATGTTGGTTTGAATGCCATGCTACAGCTGGTTGAAGGGGACCAAATCCATTTGTAATATGATTTGGTTCCGATTTACCAGCTTCAGCACCACATCTCAATTGCAGTTGGAATCTTATTTTGGGTCGGTCTCTCTCAGGCCAGTCCATCTTGTGGGTCAGTCTATCTCAGGCCAGTCCATCTTGTGGGTCAGTCTATCTCAGGCCAGTCCATCTTGTGGGTAAGTCTATCTCAGGCCAGTCCATCTTGTGGGTAAGTCTATCTCAGGCCAGTCCATCTTGTGGGTAAGTCCGTCGTACAGATCAGTCCATTTTGTGGGTCAGTCTGTCTCGGACCAGTTCATCTTGCGGGTCAGTTCATTTTGTGGGTCTGTCCATCTTGTGGGTCAGTTTGTCTCGTAGGCCAGTCCATTTTGTGGGTCAGTTCGTCGTACAGGTCAGTCTA